CACTTGGAAGTATTGTCTTGCGACTGCTCCTAAGACAATTTCTGCACTGAACACGCCTAAAAAATATGAGATAATGTTTTAATCGCATACGTCATCAATAATCGTTGAATTTGTTATCTTTAAATATTATTACTCACTGATATTAGCTTGTAAAACATCGGTAAGAAGATGAAGATCATTTTCATGAGTTACAATAATGTAATTTAATTTGGTACTGTTCATATCTTGTATTTGGGTAAGAGATCTTCTTGTTTTCTCCATTACACCACCCGCGCTTTCAATTATTTCTGATATAGCTGATGGAGATGGGATAACACTAGGTGTCACGTAAAATATCTTTCCCTAAATTAAAAGACGGACAAAATATAAACGATTGGAAATATCTCTAATTAATGTTTTGAAATTATATTATTTGTTGTATTTATTTCTTACCTTAAGTACTGTACCCCGATTAGGACTTGCCAAGACCTTTTCTATATTACAATTAAAATTATTTTCAAATTCTACATCCCCAAGAAGATATCCACTCTCGTCCAAGAAAGTATTTTTTGCCGAACAATCGAGTAACCATTGTAGGGTAACAATAAATTTACATCTTGAAAGGCAACACAATAGTTTGACCGTACGTATCGGTGCGGACATTACAAGATGAGTCGCATCTTGCCAGGTTGCTGCTAGAGCACCTCCCAATTCTCGAATTCTCTATATAATTTCATTATTTTTAATATTAATCACATGGTGTGTTAATACGAATTAAATTAAATTTGATTTTATAATATTATTATACCTTGGCGTGTTTTCTAGGATTAATACCAGAAAATAATATCTTGGGTTGTTTATCTGGTGGAGGAGGATCTGGATTACTAACAACTATCGGTTCGTCTAAACCTAACAGATGTGGATCCTTGTTTAATTGAGATACATCCAAACGCGGCTTTTTAGACTTTCTTATAGAATTTGGACCCTGTCCAACTTGTTGGACTTTGTCGTAAGATTCTTGGGTGATATTAATCGGTACTTTCCATGCAGCTGTGAAAAATAATATCGAACATATACAATTATACTACTAATTTTAAGTAAATTAACGAAAATAATTGTCGTATATTAAACGTAAGATATTTTTTTGTTTTACTTACCCATAATGTGTGGAACTAATGAATAATCCAATCTAAATGGATTACCAAGACTAAATTGTTGGTATTTAGGAGCATCCAATTGATGCGACGTACCGATCACCCCACAGAGAAAATCTGTTAACCATTGTGCATTTACTACTGCGGTTTGCCATTCGCGTGCCTTTTTATACTTTTGTCCGTCTGGTCTGAAATTTTATTTTGAAAGATATAAAAAAGAAATTTATTTTCAATCATAAGACTTTTAATTAATTTAATATTTTACGTGTTGTATATATATATGTTATAACTTAAGAAATATTACCTTTTACATACGAGTAATGTATTATGTCTGGAAAAGTAACTCGTAAGTTTGGCACCTAACGCTTCCAACATATATTTAACTTTAGTTCGTTCCTCTCCTTCAAATCCGGATAACGATACAATTTGTTTAGTGCACGGAAGTTCGTTTAAACCATAAGGAGTTGGAAAATGCAATGCATGCCATGGAGGTAGTACTTGTTGCTTGTTAACAACATCAGATAGCCAATAAGCACTAACGCAACGTCTTCCTTCGCGTAATGCTTGTACCACTGTTGGATGCTTTTGTGTAATTGCTAAAACGTGTGTAGCACGACCACAATATTGCGGTTCTACTTCTCCTCCATATTTTTCAATCACTTGTTTCCAAACTAATACTTCATTTGGACGTTGAACGTCGTATTCGACGATTACAAAAATACAACCCAATAAAAATAAATTTGGTGGAACTGGAAATATAAAAACGAGCCCCATTAGTAGTTACTTTATATAACAAAATTATGAAGATATAGTTGATGAAAGAAATATTAATATATACTTACGTTTTAAATTTGGATTATGCCCATAAAATTGAGCTTTAGGTTGTTGCATAACAGGAGCATATTGCATTTTCATGGGAGCACCAGCTGGTGCACCATTCGTTATGTTCCCTAAGGTTCTTCTTTGATATGCTGCTAATAGTTGTGGATCTTGAGAAGGCGGAGGCGGTGGTCTATGTTGTGCAGTCATCAATCGTAACTGGCCAGCAGCGCTACCTTCTGCTGCACCACCTTGTAATCTATTGGTTAACATATTTGCTAAAGCAGTCTTAGTTTTAGCATTAACAAGCTGTTGATCTGGAGAAATTTGTGTATTATTAGTTAAAGGCGTTAATGGTGGTTCTTGCTGAGCTCCCTGTGGTTGTTGTTGCTGTTGCTGCTGTTGCTGTTGTTGCTGCTGCTGCTGTTGTTGTTGTTGCTGCTGTTGTTGTTGCTGCTGTTGCAATTGTTGCAAATGTTGTAGTCTCACTATTTGTTGTTTTTGCAAATGCAGTTGCGCTATTTGCTGAGGCGTTAAGGTTTGATTCGGTTGAAATGCTTGTCCTGCTTGAGCAGGCGGAGCTGCTTGTATATTTTGTCCAGCCTGTACTATGACTTGATTAGAAGAATTGATAGGTGTTAAAGCAGGAGGTTGTACGCCTGGATGCACAGGCTTCTGTCCTGGTGGTTGTGCTATTTGTGGTCTCATCATTTGTGGACGTGGCTGTTGAATCCATTGTAAACCGCCCGGTTGTCCTGGTTTCCCAGGACTTCTTATAACAGCTATATGCGGGCCTTGTTGGGCCTGACGGTTTTGTATTTGTCTTTGATATAATAAATTTCGTTGCTTTTGAATCTTTTGAATAAATTGCGCTCTTTGCTGAGGATCCATTTGTTGCAATTGCTGGTGCGTTTCAGCATCTAGCTGAATCAATTGTCTAGGTTGTTGAGGTGGTTGCTGAGCCCACTGTCCTCCAGGTCTTTGTGGACCAATTTGCTGTTGTTGTTGTTGTCTTTGCAACTGCAAGTGATATTGTTGCTGTTGCTGTTGCCATTGTGCATCTCTTTGAACTATAAAACCTTGTTGATTTGGGCCTATTAATTGTTGATTCTGTGGTTGTTGTTGTAATTGGCCATCTCTTATAACAAATTGTTGCGAACTTTGAGGTGCAGATTGTTGTAACTGTTGTGATATTTGATGTATTTTTTGTTGTTGCTGCTGTTGTTGTAATATAATAAGTTGTTGTCTTTGATCAGTTGTCATTTGTTGAGGTGGTCCCGGTTGTTGTTGATTCAGTTGATGTTGTGTGCTAAGTTGCTGCTGAGAAGGCAACTGTTGCAAAACAATTTGTTGTTGCTGAGACGTTAATTGCAGCTGTTGCGATTGTTGCTGCACAGGAATTTGCTGTGGCTGTTGAGGCAAATGTTGCTGTTGCTGCTGTGCTTGCTGAGAAGAAAGCTGTTGTTGCTGTTGTTGTTGCTGCTGCTGTTGCTGTTGTTGTTGTTGTTGTTGTTGTTGTTGCTGCTGTTGTTGTTGCTGCTGCTGTTGTTGCTGTTGCTGCTGCGACAGCAACTGATGTTGATTCATTTGTTTTTGCTGAACCAACAATGGCTGCTGAGGTGTATGCTGATGCTGAGATAACTGTGAATTTATTGGCTGTTGTTGTTGTTGTTGAATTAATGTTTGCTGGTTTAATTGTTGTTGTTGAGGTGGTAATTGTGGAGGAGGTTGGGTTTGATTCAAAAGTGTTTGCTGTGTGTATGTTTGTTGCATCTGTTGCTGATGTTGTTGCTGTATCATTTGATGTTGCATATTTATTTGTTGTTGCTGTTGTGGAGCCAAATCTTGTTGCATTTGTGGCGAGATCCCTTTTGTTTGGGAAATATTATTCGCTTGGGAAGCTTGAGGCATCCAATTAGTTTGATTGATAATATTTTGATCTGACATAGAAGGAACATTCGGAGGTGCATTAGATAAGCTTGTGGAAGGAACAGAACGTGAAAGATGTTGTTGCTGTTGTTGTTGCTGAGGCTGCTGCTGAGGCTGCTGCTGTTGCTGCAAACTAATTGCATTTTGCCCATTATTCGGATATGTCGCAGTCGTTGCAGTATGATTAGCATTGTTGTGCACTTGTAACACATTAGAAGATACAGGTGGACTTGGTTGATTCCAAGGCATACGTTGTTTTAATTGTTCCAATACTGCCTTTGTTCTGTCCTGTTCTTCTTGAGCAGCGCTATTCTCAGTATCTTCATCCATGAACCCAGTAATCATTGCTGTTGAAGTATTTGGGGATGGATAAATAAGCAATCTTGGATGATACTCTATCTCGTTAACAAGGGCAACCTTTTTATAACATTCAGTCACCCAATCAGGAGTAACAATGTGAATATGATGTCTCATTGCAGCATCATACTTCAATCCAGAAGGTTTTCCAGTTATCAAATGCGTACAATATCTATCTAAACGTAACTGGCATTTGCCACCTTGTAAAGTTATTATTGCCCAAAGTATTTTACTGTCTGCCCGACTTATTTGGGATATGCATGCTCGTACATTGGAAAATAATTGATTCTCTTCTGGGGAAAAATAACGTGTTCTATTTGCGTATTAACATTAAGAAAAAATCTAATAGGTAAATCATTTTGTTTGTTTTTTTATAAGATTATAATACCGATGTTAGAATACTAACACCATATAAAAGGATACGGTAAAAGTTTGTTACATTTAACAGATAATAGAATCCAATTCTGTGTAACCGCTGGTATTTCATAAAGATCCTTGGCCACAGATATATCATTTTCAAGGGCATCATAGCCAGCAATTAAGTGCGTTACAAAATCACTGAGATAGTTGGATCTCTCAGCTCCACCTTCTTGCAATAAGTTTAAGATCTATAAGTATTTAAATGATCTGTTTAGTTAACTATTTGAACAGCATCGATAACATGCGAATATATCATAACCTTTAAACAGATATATTCCAATTTAGACAAAATTGTACAAAATGTAGACCAATAGATCGCAATTATGGATCGAGCTAAATATATCGAAATAAAAAAAATTCGATAGGTTAGTTCGTACATAATAATAATGATAAAAATATTAGGACGATTACATACTTTAGGATCTCCTTCACCACTGACGTAGTATTTGACATTGGCAAACAGAGCACCGTCGAGTTTTAATTCCTCAAGACCGGCTCTAATATCGCCCATTTTAATCAAATTCTTCTATAAAGTAAGTTATTATTTATATTTTACATATTGCACTTAAGATACACGAAGCATTTAATTAAAATATGACTACGCGATATTTGATAACAATAGTTAGCCGCGACGCTTTTGTTATTATTATGATTGTTAGGTTATATGTCTTATACTGAGAAAGGAAACCATATAATGCATCTAATGCAACGCTCTGTAGAGCCACCGTCGTTCAAGATAGTAGTTTACCACTGTTGGTAACCACGAAAAATAGATAACAACCACAGAAAGACCTTGCAAGGTCTCTCTTGTGTGGTTCATTTTTTTCTGGGTTAAGTCTATTAACCTAATTCACCAAATTTCCTTATTTTGGGTCTTGTAATAGTTTCACTAGTTTCTTTAACATTTCAATGTACATATAGTTTTACATTTATTTCTAATATTTCATTATTAATAATTATTTTTAATTATTCATTCATTATTTTATCAAAATAACAAATGTTTAACCTATTTTTATATATACTTTTCAATGTGTACATATGTTCATACATTTATTGATTCTAAGATTATTAAACAAAGTCATAAATCAGTATTTTTTATTTGTAGCATACGTTCTCTAGCAGCCTTGAATTGTTCTAAGACATTTTCAACGTTATTCATAAGTGCATCAACGTTATTTCTATCAAGATATTTACTTTCAAAATTTGTCCTAGTCGTATTGATGTTATATCGATGAACAATGTTAAGATTTATTTTAACGTAACCGCTCGACACAACATTTAAATTAGATTTGTCCAACAATGCACTGTCGTGCATCAATGGAATACCACAATGTGTGATATCTTCCAGTTCATAAGTACCACCGGTAAAAAATCTACGAAGAGAATCAACGATATCCCCAGCTGGTCTCCAAGTGGGTATATTTAATTCGTGTGTACCTGGCAACAACGATATAGGTACTACTCCATACCCTTCTATGCGATATCTATATTAAAATTAATTTCATATATTTTATTTATAGATTTTTTATTAAAAGTGATGTTATAGAGAAAGTATTGGTTAACTCTTTTATATAATATTAACAGTAACTCTAGTCACTCCTCATTGTACATTCTGAGTGTCTTACCGGTGACTATAATCACCTATTGTTATTTTGCATCCATTTACAATGTTTACAATTTGAATATTTTAAAATGCATTACGTTTTACCTCTAAACATCTAATCTTTCATCTATCAAAAGGGTTAATAGTTAATACGTACCTAGTCCAACTATCGAGAGATGCTACACATATTAATAAAGACGGCCACTTGGTAATAGCTGCATTTTTAGTTAACACATTTAAATGCAAATCCAATAATATATCCATGATATAATCAAAGTAAGCAGTTTTATCTTTGATACGACACTTTTGCGTTCTTCCAACTAATCTTTCTTTTTGTTTGGTACTCCAATCTTTAGGTAAAATGATATAATAAGTTATGAATAAACCGTCATAAGTAAAATTGTGAGCGGAAACGATGTTCAGGTTTAAAAAGATTTGAAATATGTTTGGTACTGTTAATTCTATTTCGTTTGGTATATCTGCCGATTTGTACAACATCAGTTTTTGTATTTCCTAAAAAATATTAAAATATTAGTATTTTAGCTTTCACGTAGAATCACACCCCAGTTCGCTTATACCATCAGTTACAGGATAACCATACATATATTTTTTTTACAAGCATGAGTCAAGTAATGATGTCAGTTTAGAAAGATATAAACAGTAATATGTATGTGTGTGGGTTATACCCCTTCTCCAGTTTATACATGATCCAACACTAAGGAAATTTACATTAGTGAAAGAAAGTGTTGGAAGGGAACATTCAAAGAAATATCAAAGTCAGTCAAACTTAGACCATCTACTGGTTAACATGGTCGATCATCTAAGTAAATTCTATCTACAATAAACTTTATATAGTTTCTACAATATTTTTAGAACATGAGGACTTTAATTAAAAAATGTAAATTTTTTAAACGATTGATACAAAAGTGTCGACAAAGAAATAAATTAATTTTAATGAATTAATTATAGTATCACAGTGAATTAAAAAATGCATGCACCTCTTTGTGCAATTTTATAAGAGAATTATAATAAGAGTATTAAAGATTTGAGTATTAAACAGTGCAAAAACTGGGAGTATTAAAAATAAATAAATAAATTTAATATATAGACAAAATGTCTTATCCACAAAGAATGATCAGACAAATATCAGAAATTTCCTATGTGGGGTACGTACTATTAATAATTAAATAATCATACACATACTTGTCGTAATTCTTCACGTTGTTCTTCCAATTCCGATGTAGATTGAATTTCAGAATAATGTTCTATCCAATAATCGTATTTAATACCGCTATCCGTTGTAAGCATGTAAGATTGGTTTGAAGTAAAATCAGGATACATAGTTAAAATATTATTTACTTTGTCGTATGTTATTTTGCATAGTAGCGTTTCCATTTCGAGATCCGACGAATGAAACAAATCAGATTTATTTTTTCTACTTAAATCGAGTAATATATACATGGTACTACGTTCCATATAAAAATAATGATTAGAACGTATTCTGGTATCCGTGATTCTATCATCGATAACATTTTTATTATATCTCAGTGAAAAAGGTTTACGATTAAGCATTTTGGGTAATGCTGATTGATTCTTAAACGACAAATAAGATTGGTAAGGCTTAGTAAGCAAATTTTCGTTAGGATAATACGAATCTGTTTCCGTGTAACTGTACAAATGCGAGCCTTGCAAATTTTTTTCCTTTACCAGTTGGTGATATCTTTTTTGATAATCGTTAATGCAGTTGTTTTCGTCTTTGTAAAATTCTATCTCGAACGGACTGAAGATCTTCTCTTGCCATCTAAAAATACGTTCTTCTTCTTCCAAATAATTAGAATCTCTTGTATCGTTCTCCGTATCAAATAAGTCGGCTAGCAAAGATTTCTGTTGGGCGACTCTAACTCTATAACAATAAACGTACCATCAAAATACTACATAAATACTGATTCAGAGTATATAAGATATACGTGATCTCTATCTCCAAACCAGATGGCTTCTGTTAAATTTCAAGGTTTCTGTTTAATCTTTTCTCAAACATACTATTTCATTTTCCTTTAAAAATCAAACATATATTTTTTCCTTCCACATTTAATTACAAAGATAAACTTTTACGTTTTTTTGTTAAAAAAAGAAAAAGAGAAAAGTATGTATCTACGTAAACGAAAATTATTTCAAGAATGTCATTATCCAAAAACGTTCCATTCCTTTTTCCAACAAGCACGAAGTTGATAATTATTATATATATTTTGTTTTTTCATAATCGGAGAAAAAAAAAGTATATAAATTTATAATTCGTATATAAGTGCGTGTATTAGTTCTAATCATTTAGACATCATATAATATCCTTGATAAAATCCTTTCAAATTTCAAGGCCAACAAGGAATGTGTCCTATAGACGAATGTAACGATGTAACATAACAATCTAAATTAATTGTTGTTAGATGTATTATTAATTATTCTTGGAAAAACATATGTTAAAATGAATATTTGATTGGTCAATAAAAAATATAAGAATTTTTAATATTTTATATGTGTGTGAATATAATTTAGTATCATTTAATTGTAAAATAATAATAATTTATATAATTATTATATTAGCATATTTAATTACCTATAAATATGTTAAAATACACTATATATAGTGTTATTTTATTTCAGTAATAAATATTAAAAATTCGCGCCATTTATTGACCAATCCAATGCATGCATAAATAATTACACACACATGCATATAAATATAAATATACATTTGTGTATGTTTATATAAATGAGAAATTAGGGGTATATATGTATATACCTAATCTTAAAATTATGTATAGGTTCCTTAACTCGATAACTTGCAGCAATTTTTTTTCTTTCCTGAATATCCGTCATATTGATTTTTATTATAAATCATAGAAAAAATAATATTTTAATTGGAATTTTTTTTCTTCACTTTCTTACACAATTTAGTATAGAAAAAAAGAACTATAGACGTAATGAAGGAAGTAGGAAACAAAGTATACTAATCGTCGCTTAGCAACGTAATAATCAAAATAAAGATAGGTGATTCATTCGTGATTTGAATTTTTCATTTTATTTTCTCGTGTTGCAATCTTTAAACAAATGTATATTTCCGTTTGTCTCTAGATCATTTTCATCATGTTTATTGTGATTAGCATCAAATTATTTTTAAATTAGACTTTAATTAATTCAAATAATATTTTAATAACAAAATGCTGGGGGAAAAAATATTCATAATACGTAAATCAAAAGTAGCTGTTAAAGACTATAATTATTGTGCTATAAATACAATGTTAAAAAATGAACAATAATTAGGGAATTACTTTATCGCAGTTATTACAGAAATGAACATGAAATATTATTTCTGCTATTACAAATGACGTATACTAAGAAATAAATTATTATTTTTTTAATTTTTTTCCTGTTAAAACTTGTTTCATTATTATCTTCTATTTTGTTTACTTGGTAAATAATAAGAAAACCAGTTTTCGATTATAATTCGCGCGTTAATAGATTCAAATAATATACGTATATTAAACTTGTTTATTCTAACACATTATACAAAATAATATAATTTTATTATATAAAATAAATAAGGAAATTGTTTTTATTGTTGGTCACACACACATTTAAGATATTTAAAAAAAAAAACACGTGCATACATTTTTTAAAATTTAAATTCCATCATTTTGATTGGCCAATCTGATATGCAGCAGATAAAACGCGCGAATATTATTTACAATGATTAACGTTAAATATTTATTTGCACAAAACGCAAGAATTTTCTTGTTTTGTGAGAAGAAGTTAAGAAAATAAAAAAAGGAAAGAAAAAAAAATAAGAGAATCGGCATTAAAACCGGTTTTAAATTGACTGCATTCCTTTTGCCAATGGGCCTATCTATCCCGTACCTTTACCGTTGCTTTTCTACATTTTACGACAGATAATCTTTAAATAGTCTTCACGAATAATACAAAATTAAACCAAATGAATATCCTTTTAATGATTTCTAATTAATTGCAATATTTTTTTGTCCTCATATCTTTTATTTTCTTCATTAATTTCACATAAGTCAGTTTGTAATACAAGCAAACGGTGAAATCAAAACAACAACTGCAAAGAGAATACAAAATAATTATTATCAAATAACAACAACAATAATAATAATAATTAATAGAAAAGACAAAACAAATTGAATCTATACTTATAAAGAAATAAAAACAAAAGTGCATTTCCGTTGTGTTTACTCCCTCTAAACTTGAACTCGTGCACTATATGAAATCATGAGTTTACCTATCTAACGTGCTACACCGTGTGCACACCTTTATGTTCTTTAAAAGACCGTATCGATCATATTGAAAAAAATCATTTTCGGTAATTTATTTTTACTTTTTTCTTCTTGTTCTCCTTCTTTTTCTTTTCCTAAGAGGTTGCGTAACATTTGGAAACTCGTAGAAAGAATAAAAAAATGTTTTGTTCTCTCATTCTATCTCGTCTATGAAGTATAATAATAATAAAAAAAAAGAAAGAAAAAAAAGATGAGAGTTTTTATTAGATACACCTGTCGAAGGCCAAATCGAATAAACCGTATTCTCCGATGATACCAATGCTGGTAGAGTTGTGATTACTATAGTGTTTGCACTTAGTATATGTGTGTTACATTCGAACGTTTCTTCTTATTTGATTTGGATTATACTTAAGAAGAAAATTGTTCTTTATCATTTGAAGTTCTTTTGTATGAAAAATTCTTCCTTCTTCTTCTTCTTCATATTTTTTGTTAAAAACGATGAATGAAATTTAATTTGGGAGTACAGTTTGAAGAAATTGTTGTTCTTTGCCACGTCTCAGGGTTACTGACACCTCACAGGTAATTATCCTATTATCTTCAATTTAGGTTTATTATTACAAAAGTTTTTAATGGATTTTTAGTTTTGAATGAAATCATATTTCTTAGTTCACTCGTTGTACTCATCATCATCGTTGTTTCCTTTTCTTTTTCTCTCTCAGTTTTTTTTTTCTTTCTCTTTCTACGTGACTGTGTGTATTCTCTATAAAATTGATAAGAGATAGATTAAGTATACACAATATATAAGTATTTCATCGAAGTAAGTGATATCATTGACTCAAATCGTTTTCGATTTAGTCGTTACTGAATAACCCACACCTGTGGAACTTTTTACATACACCTAGAGGTATTATTTTTATTTAAAAAAAAAAAAAAAAAAGCAACAAAAAAAAAGATACTTTAGTATCTCAATTACTACTTTTCTTTTTTTGTTTTCTTTTTTTCCATCACGAATTTATTCCAAATATTTATTTACAATAAGAAGAGAATATTTTTCTTTGATGTTGTTATTAAAAATTTATACGAATGATTTCATTCGATTGATATCGTGATATTAATTTCTGTTTTTTCTTGTTTAGAAGTTTCAAATTGATTAGGATGGCGACCAATCAAGAAGGAGAGACTGGAATAACTATTCCTTTACAGTTTAATGATAGCGTAAGATACAATTTATATTATTAAGAAATATTTGTACAAAGTTATTTTATTTATTTGTACGGTGATGAATTTCAGCATTGGAAAGGTATCTTTGAAAAATATGACCTAGATGGTGACGGTAAGATCTCATATCAAGAGTTGAAGGCTATGATACGAGGTTCAGCGTATACCAATGATATTCCTGCCAATGTAGTTCATATAATAATGCGTAAAGCAGATTTGGATGATTCTGGGTATTTAGAATATCCAGAATTCATTGCTATGGTATGGTTTATATTCTTAATTAGATTTATTTATGTTTTCCAATAGAAAGAAAAAACATTCAATTAGATTTCTTTGCGGTTTAGATTCATAGAAAAGATATGCAAGGAGTTTTCGGTCATCTTGTACAACGTTATGTACATTCGATGGTACCTCAAAGACCAACCGCTGCCCAGTATTCTCAATCTTCTACTGATTATCCAGATGGACAATACGAAGAGGAATATAGTTGTAGGCCACCAGCAGTGGCGATGATAACCATATCAATAATAGAGATTATTTTATTTTTGTACGACGTTATAGAACATAAGTCACTTTCCATGGATGGGCCAGCAGCTACTTTATTTATTTATAATCCGCACAAAAGATACCAAGCTTGGAGGTATGTGACGTATATGTTCGTACACGTTGGGTAAGTTTTCTTCTAATATCTATATATTAAAATGAATGAAATAATTTATAAAAGACATTACAATGTAAGAAACGAATCTTCATTTTATTACTTAGAATTCTTCATTTGGTCGTTAATTTGTTCGTTCAAATAATGCTGGGCATACCACTGGAAATGGTTCATAAATGGTGGAGAGTATTAATCATCTACATAGCAGGAGTGATAGCTGGATCTCTTGGAACGTCGGTTTCAGATCCTACTGTTTATTTAGCAGGAGCATCCGGTGGTGTATACGCACTAATTACTGCACACGTAGCAACGATATTGATGAATTGGTCAGAAATGGAATTTGCTGGCCTTCAGTCAATAGTGTTTCTTGTTATAGCCATAGTTGACATAGGTCAAGCAATATACAGTCGTTATGTCGAAGTAGACGTAGACAATCAAATTGGATACGTAGCTCATTTGACTGGTGCTTTAGCCGGACTTCTTGTCGGTATTAATGTTCTTCGTAATCTGGAAGTTAGAACTTGGGAAAAGGTTATTTGGTGGGTCAGTATTGTTACATACACAATTCTCATGACGGCAGCTATTTTGTGGAATATTTTATATCCTTCGTATTATTCGTAATAGTTACAAAAAATAGATAATAGTGTTCGTTTTTATTTTTCTTTTGTTTTTTTTTGTTTTTTTGGTTTTTTTACATATATATATATATATATATATCAAATGAATATTGTAATATTTTAATTTAAAACGAATTGTTCCAAGAACGTGCCTAATCGAGAATCAGTAGAAATTAAGGAGACAGACACATTTATTGCGTATAAAAAAAGGAATTCTTTTAAATGGAATTTCACGCAAAAGAATATTTTATAATATTACTATTAAACTGTCTTGTTAATGCTTAAAGCATTAATCAAAGAACGTATGCGATGAAAACACAAACGTATTTATAAAGAAAACTAATTTGCTTTAATAACTTGCTGAATTATGATAATATATATATATATATATATGTATATCTATTTATATAATATTATTTAAGATCGATACACACAATTACAAGATGTACTGTGATATACAATGCAATTATGGGCATTGCAAAACAAGTAATCATTTACTATCATTATCAATTTCCTATTGCGTATTGTGTGATTGCATTATTTATCTCTCTTTCTTTCTCTCTCTACGATTAATTTTTCATTTTGCACATATGAGTGAGTGCTACCTCTTCCGTTTCATTTATATATATATATATATACGCACAATGTATATATATAAATACATATAGTGGTTGTATAAACGTTTCATTACTTTTGGATTTTTACGTACACAAATATTTTCTAACTGCTATAAAAATGTAAATTATTCATTTGCTATATTTTATCGTACGATATGTATGAATATACGAACTTTATTATTATAATGTAAAGCAAGAGGTGCAGTATTACTTTTTTGTTTTCTT